TTCTGGGGAAGAAGAAACTGCCTTCCGGTGGTGTGCTCTTGGGCTTGCCAAAATAGTGCTTGTTAAGCCTTGCTCACCCACAGGGCCATTAGTTCTCCACCGGGGTGACTAATGCTACGAGTGGCATTTACATCTGCTCTAAATGTATTAGGAACAGACTTGCTCTTGCAGTAATGGGTCATGCTGGCCATTGCCCAGATTTTCTTGTTTGGACTCATTACGCTTTAATCTACTTGTTTGGTTTTCATTCTCTGCCTTTCCTGGAGCCTAACTCCAGATTGGTAATTAGCGGCTAAAGGAAATAGAAGCTTTAAGATAAGTCTGGGGGAGTGTCGTAGAAAGAAAGATCATTCCAGAAGACTGGAGGAATCTGCAGTAGGAAACAGCCCCCTCCGCTAACCCTGTGCCCTCAGGTTGGGTGTAGATGGGTATAAGGAAAGGTGGAAGAAAGTTGCTCAAGGTCAAAGACAGATTGCCATCAGGTCCTAAGAAATGCAGAGATGCTGAGGTTCTTTGGTTTCTTTGGTCACCAGACAGAGAATGGGAGGGAAGGCACAGGTTGGGCTGGAGAAGGAGGTCTGATTTGTAATAAAATTTGGCTGTGGACCGAGGCTTAAAAGAAATTAAGAGGAAGTACAGTTTGGTAGAAAGGACCGTAGGCTCAAAAGGCTTAGGGGCATCTCGGATGTGACTCGGGCTCCAGAGTCTCCCAGATGTGAATTTGAACCCCTCATCCTCGCTGTGGGACCTTTTATAGGAGGCTAATTACTAGCTCCATGATCTTAGGTAAACTTCACTTCTTCAAGCCTGTTTTCTCAACATTGCCTACGTGGCACATGAGGTTTTTGTCGGGTTCGAGTAAGATTAGGTATACAAAGCGTCTAGTGATATCATAGAAGTTCAAAAAAATAATAGTGGTCTTGGGTGGTTCACAGCGTCCCAGGAAATGGCAGGCATGGAAAGCAGTAGATGTTTCCTCCTCTGTATTCTGGAGCCTGTGAGAAGCCTCAGGCCTCAAATATGGATGTCAGAAAGAGCTCAGAGCTACTCATTCCTTCGGCAGTCTGTCTCTGACCACGCCAGACACCCAGCGAGAGGAAGGAAGGGCCAGGCAAGGCTTCTCAGCTGTCCCTCCAGATGCAGCCCAAGTCCTGTGCCCTCCATGAAGCCTCCTGACAGTCCTGCCCTTTCTTACTTGTTTTGGCACCCACGTCGGCCCTCTAACGTGGCTGCTGACTTATAGTGTTCACACTTACTTCCCATGAGCGTGACTTCATTCTCCAACTCAGTTTTAAGCCCCCTGGCAGGTGAAGTCTGTGTTTGGTCATCTGTGTGCATTCCTTAGGAAAGCAGAGGCTGGGTACAAGAGCCCTCCAGAAATAGCCAGTCTGTTGAACACCTTTCAATTTAGGTTTCAGTATAGCCCTGAAATTTGGGCATATGACGAGTGTGTCACAGATGGCATAACTGGAGACTTAAAAAGGGAAAGCTTTTTTTGTTGTCTTTCTAAATGACTGAGCTACATTTTTCTCTACTCGATAAATATTTCTTAAATACCAGTTACTGCAAAGCAATTTACTTGGGTCTCCGGTAATTACAGAAACGAATCCTACCTGCATCTTGCTCTCAAGTTGTTCCCATCTTAATAAGAGAGATCGAGCCAGCAAAACAAAGAGCCCTGATTCAGAGCACAAGATGATGAGTGCCTTAAGAGTCAGACAGGAACTTGGACCGTCTGACGCTAACTAATTGATACAGCGCTTAAGCTGAGGCTTGATGGATGATGCAAATTTGGGCAAGTGGAAATAAGGTGAAAGGCAGCTGGGAAAGAGATGATCAATTGTAAGATATGTACGTGGGACAACAAATAATACTGTTTGTGTGGACTAGGGCATGGGAAGAGGATGGTGGCGAGGTAGATCAGAAAGACCAGCTGAAACCAAGTGGAAGAGGGTAGCGAATTCTAGGTTAAAGATGGTTCGGCTTGTGCTGCAGGAAACAGAGAGTTAGGAAATCTGAATCTCTATCATCTATCTAATCATGTATCTATCTATCATCTATCTATCATCTATCTGTCTACCCATCTATCTGTCTATCTATCTATCTGTCTATCTAATCATCTATCTATCTGTATCTATCATCCATTTATCTAGAGATTTTTTTCAAGCTGGTTAAGTATATGAGCAGAACTGGCTTCTAGAGTACTCAGAAGCAGCATAGGAAAGTCCGCGGGGAGAGATACAGGCCTACATACAGACTGATGCCATGGACGCAGTAATCTGGAGAATAGTCCAGGTCCGCATTGTCCAGGTAGTCAAGGGATCTCCTCCAGGTCATGCAGCAAGCCAGGGTTAGTATTAAGACTAGAATCTGTGTCTCCTGGGCCCCGGTTATATTAGTCTTCCATTCCCGCCTCTTCAGTTTGACACTGTGGCTTTTCTGTGGCAAGTTAGAATCAGGAGATAACATTGGAGTCTTTCAACCAAGAAAACCCTTTGCCTCTAACCTCAAAGACTGACTGGCGACAAATCATCAAATTGCAGCTCCCAATAAAGAGCCAGGAGGACACGGGGCCATTTAGATGTGGCTGTGACTTGGGAATAATGGAGTTCAGATCTTGGGTGGTACCATCTGGCTCTCTCATCACCAGAAGTGATAGCCCTAGGATGGACACAGTTTCAGGTAGAAGTGCCTTTTTGCCTCCGACTGCATCATATGCTTCCTGTCCAGCGCCCCCTCTGGTAAGCAGTAGAAATGGGACAGTATTGTCAGCTCCGGTAATCGGTCATCGGCCGTGAGCAAGAAGCATCATGTAGCTTACTGGTTACACATAGCATCACCTGGGGAGCTTTTAAAAATACCCAAACCCAGGTCCCACTCAGTCGGTTAAACAGGAATCTCTGGGACTGGGGCCCAGGTACCGAACGATTTACCCGTTCCCAGTGTGTAGCCAGGGTTGAACTCCACTGGTACTTGGGACCGCATGGGCTTCAGAAAGCAGATCGAACTGCACGTATGGCCAGTTGACCGTGAGCTTCCTCGCCTCTGCGTGTGTTTGCTCAAGTGTACAACAGGGATTATTACACTTTCTACCTCGCAGGGTTATAACCAGTATTAAATGAGAATAAATGCGTCCAGCACTGAGTATAGTACCTGGAACGGAACAGGTGTTCAATAAGAAAAAGGTAGCTAAACTTTTTACCAGTTATCTTATTACCACGACCACTATTATTATTTATACTTTTAATATTTCTAAGAATATCCGCAAAACGGCAGACACAGGGAAGAAACCCGTCTCTGCTGCTTCTCTAATTGTGTGATTGTGGCTGAATCATTC